GCCCCGTCCCCCCGGCTGTGCCCTGTGTCCGGCTGCTGGGAGCAGGTCCTGGGGCTGGTCCGGCTCAGGGCAGGCAGAGGGATAGGATGCTCGGGCGCCTGCGGGGTGAAAGCCCCGGGTGCAGCACAGGCGCTGCAGGCTGCGGTCCGGCATCGAGTCGCCCCCAAATGTGTTTGCTTCGACGTCACTTCTCAGAGAGGGCGAGATGAGTCGACGCGCCTGGCTGTGAAAAACAAAACCTACGAAGTTTTGCTGTTGCTGATTCAATGAGGAATTAACTCTTTTTCACTCCAAAATTAGTCATCGCGCCACAGAAAGAAAGGTAGAAGGTCAGGCTGCACCCAGCGTGCACCGCTGCTGGGGAAGGTACCCACTGCCGGGGGGACTGTGCCTTTATCTGACAATCAACCCAAATTAGGGAATTATTAGGGACGTATTATTAGGGATGTATTATTAGGGACATTATTGGGTACCGCCCGCAGCATCGGAGCTGCTCCTGGGAGGGCTCGCAGAGCAGCACTGTCATTCGGGATGCTCGGGGACCCGCCGCCCGTGACTCAAACCCAGCCCTGCACGGTTTCAGGGCACCTCCGAGTCCTGATAAAATCTCCCAGCTCGGGGCCCCACACCGTGTCAGCAGACACCTTCACCCCTCGCTTCCCCGTGGTGTCGCACCAGGAGATGCTGTGATAAACCATCACATCAAATCCCCGCTGCGGACCGTTTTCGGCGTTGACTGCAAGCACCGGGGGCCCGGAGCGCTCGGCAGCCCGCGGGCGAAGGCAGCGTCGACTCATTTCTCGTCTCAGCGCGCTTTTTTTTTTTTTTTTCTCTTTTCTCACTTTTGCTGCACTCACATCGCCCCAGCCCGCTGCCACAGCAGAAAGGAAACAGGGAAAGTTAAAGCCACCCACGCTCCGGCGCTGCCCCGGCACAGCCCTGCACTCCTCCAGCAAAGACGGGCTTTAGCAGCAGCATCTCCCCGGCCCCTGCCCGGGTCCGGGTCACCCAGCGCCACTGCAGCACCCTGGGCTGGATCTGGCCTTTACCCTCAGCACCACCACCAAAGGTTCCTCCAGGGACCAGAAGACCACATCTCCCATGGGCAGAAGAGCCCCGCTGCCCCGTGCACCCCAGCTCTGGTTGGCCCAGAAGTGCTTACGAGCAGCAGTTAAACGAAGGGGAAAGTGATAATTTGCAGCTATTAATTCTTACATTAATTCTGCATACGTAATGCAGCAGGTACACACTATTGACACTGTCCCGCACAACATCCTTGTCTCTAAATTGGAGAGAAATGGTTTTGATGGATGGACCAGTCGGTGGATAAGGAAATGGCTGGATGGCCGCACTCAGGGTTGTCGTCAACAGCTCAATGTCCAAATGGAGACCAGAGACAAGTGGCACTTCTCAGTGGTCAGTACTGGGACTGGCACTGTTTAACATCTTTGTAGGCGACATGGACAGTGGGATTGAGTGCACCCTCCTCAAGTTTGCCGATGACACCAGGCTGTGTGGAGCGGTCAACACACTGGATGGAAGGGATGCCATCCAGAGGGACCTGGACAGACTGGAGAGGTGGGCCCATGACAACATCATGAGGTTCAAAAAGGCCAAGCGTAGGGTCCTGCATGTGAGTTGGGGCAATCCCAAGCACAGCTCCAGGCTGGGCAGAGAACGGATGGAGAACAGCCCTGAGGAGAAGGACTTGGGGGTGTCGGTGGGTGAGAAGCTCCCCGTGAGCCGGCGATGTGCGCTGGCAGCCCAGCGAGCCCCCCGCACCCCGGGCTGCATCCCCAGCAGCGTGGCCAGCAGGGCGAGGGGGGATTGTGCCCCTCTGCTGCGCTCTGCTCTGGGGAGACCCCCCTGCAGTGCTGCCTCCAGCTCGGGGG